ATTAAATCCGGACGGATAGAGTCCGGATGGTGCGGGCGGGTGGGGGGAGCTTGCCTGTTTTGTGCCCCCCTGTCCTGGGAGTGAGCGGGGTGACCTGGAGAGAACATGGGATTGGGCGGGAGGAGGGGGAGTGGGTAAGGGCAGGGGCCGCGGACTTGCTTTTGCTCAGAGGATAACATTATGTCTGCAGCAATTTGAAGCAATTTCAAGCCTGGCTCTCCAGTAATTTTCTAGATCAATGGGGAGCAAGCTCCAGGCTGCTTATCTCACAGCGCCTCCCGGAGAGCTTTATGTTAATGAGGAGCGAGCGAGCGCTGTGCCAGGAGCCAGGCTGCCCCATTTCATACGCCTGAGAAAGCAAAACCCATTGCGTGTCGACAGCCATCAGCCTTACCGAATTAACCTGTGATGGGATGACAAGGATCCTCATCAATTTTGCAACCAGTCCAGGAACAAGTAGTCACTTATGGTTGGGAGCGACACAGCGATTCCAATTAAAAATGCTCCTCTTAACCCCACTTCCCTCACGCCCTCCCCTCCGAAAACACACACCCTGTCGCCCCATTTTCTTCCTGCAAATGTGTCTACCGAAACCCCTCACCCATCCATCCAATCCCCCCCCCCCCCCTCTGTGTTTCTGGCCTTTCACCGTTCAACCCCAACCAACCTTACCGCTAATGCGGGGTCTTCAATAATTCAGAGCTGAAGATCTCTGGCAGAGAATTTCGAAGAGGGGGAGGAAGGTGGCTGAGGACGAGAGAGAGAGAGAGAGAGAAGGGGGTGACAGAGGGAAAATAGAACAAGGAGAAAACAGGAAGGTTACAACGAAGGAAAACTGAGCGCAGAGAATCGAATGGTCGGAAAAGAGCAATACCAAGAATGGAATGAAATAGAATGAATATTAATCTTTGCATTTGTTGCGTTGCGGAGCCTGTAGCTTAGTGGGTATGAGAGAGGACGTGGGCTTGATTCCCGGGCCGGGCGAAACCTTAGGCAAGTTTCCTTACTCAACACACGCCTCTGTTTACCTGGAAATAAGCAGCAAACCGGTTGTTAGTGGATTGGCAGTTCACTTTCCGGGGGTAATAATCCCTTCAAAAAATATTTGGTCACTCAATCCACAACTGTTTGTGGGTGACGCTGCTGTGTGCAATTGGCTGCCGCGTTTCGCCCATAAAATACACAGTCACTACACTTTACAGTACATCCTGTGAAACTCTTGGAGACGTATCAACGGCAAGGATTATTATTATTATTTGATACGGTGCCTGGAAATGTCTCAAATCACAGAGTAGAGGAGGGCGACGAGGGGTAAATTCAGGACATAAACCAGGAAGTGTGTCTTTACACTGAGGGGGGGAATCGATGGTTGGGAATGGTGTCACAGGGGAGGGGGAGATCAAGTCTGGTCCACTGGAAATCAGTCAAAATGCAGCTCGACACTGCGATAGGAAAGGGGGGGCAGGGGAGATTGTGGACGGACGAGACCAGATGGGTTTCCCCGGGGTCTCCCCAGGGTGGACGTGGGGCCTTTAAGCGGCGAGCGCTGGGCAGGAAGGGGTCTGGGGGAGCCTGCGGTGTGGGAGCTGTGTTACCAGGCTCCACGGCTAATGATATATTTCAGTCCGCTGATCGCTGGCTGCCGCATGCAAATGACTTGCTTCTGGCATTTTAATCAACGGATTTTCGATTACTGCTGTCCTGTGCGATGTCCTTCACTGGGGGCGGGCCGGCGGGGGGTGGGGGGGGGGGGGAGGCTGACAAACACACAGCGTTACGTACATTGCGCCGAGCTTCCTTTCCGCTCACTTCCTCATGTCCGCCCCCCTCCTCCTCAGAGATTCGAGCCCTTCCACCCTACCCCACCCACGTCGGGGGGGGGGGGGCTTTATTACAATAATAATAATCCTTGCATTGATACAGTGCCTTTTCACGTCATTGAAACGTCTCAAAACGCTTCACAGGATACACTGTACAGTGGAATCATTGTAATTTGTGGGCGAAACGTGACAGCCAATTGTGCACAGGCAGTGTCCCACACACAGTCGGGGATTGATGGACCAAATTATTATTTTTTTTTGAAGGAACTATTACCCCCGGAAATCAATCCGCCAATCGACTAACAATCGGGTTCCTTCTTACTGCTGGGTAAACAGAGGCGTGCGGAGTAAGGAAACTTGCCTGGGGTTTTGCCTCACCTGGGAATGTTTGTTTGTTGAGGAGGCGATGGGGGAGTTTGTGAGGGGTATCTGTGTGTGTGTGGATGGGAGGGGATGTCTGGAGATGGGAGGAAGGCTGACAAGATGCTATTAACAGCCCTGCACACAACTCCTAAATCAAAGACAGTCGTGTTTATAATGACAATTTAATAGCTAGTTTAGTACATTATAATTACACTGTTGTCAAATGCTACCACGCATCTCTCCTCAAATAAACCAGCCCTCAGTGTGGGGGGAGCGTGGGTGGAGGGAGTAGGAGGAAACTGTCCTTTAACTGAGTTCCAACGTCCCGGGCACAGCCCCCCACCCCCAGTGACCCCCGTTACCAACCGTTATCCCCCTCAATGCAAAGAAACACTTCCTGTCCGAAATTTGCCCTTGCCCCCTATAATAATAATAATAATCCTTGCATTTGATACAGCGCCTCATCGCGTTTTCTGGACGTGTCAAAGTGCTTCATAGAATATACTGTGAAGTGAATTGACTGTATATTTTATGGGCAAAACTCGGCAGCCAATTGCGCACAGCAGCGTCCGTCCCACAAACAGCCGTGGATTGAGTGACCCGATTATTATTTTTTACATTTGTTTTATTAGGGATTATTACCCCCAGAAAAGCAATCAGCCAATCGACTAACAACTGGGTTCCTACTCACTGTTTAAAAACAGGAGCAAGGAAACTTGCCTAAGGTTTCGCCCTGACCCGCCCGGGAATCCAACCAGGTCTCTCACTTGCTCTTACCGTTGAGCTACAGGACTCCTATCGGAGAGGATTGTCCAGGTTTTCCTGGCTTAACCCCATTCAGAATCCTATTGCCTCTCCCAGCCTCTCCGTCCCCACTCCTCACTGCTCCAGCTGTCCATCGCTCGGGATTTCTAAGGAAAAGAATTTCAATCCTAGAGGTGGGGAAATGGGACCTTTTGTGCCAAGCGGGAGAAGAGAGGCAGAGAGGGGTGGTGGGGGAGGGGAGGGCTGGGAAGGAGGGAACGCCACAGTCACCTGGGGGGGGGGGGAAATGGGATTTTTACAGAAATTTGGGAATTTTGGAGCTGCTTTTGTGCAGATGTAGGGAATTGAGTCCAGATGTTGGTTATACATGGACACAGCGCCCCCTGGTGCCTGTTATACAGAGAGACACCGGGTACCACAACATGTTACCTGCTTAACCAGACCACGCCACTCAGTCATGGGTCATGCAATATACACGTGACACGGCACAGAAACCCGTGCGAACTATGCCGTGTGAGATACCTGCCGCAAAACGTGACACACGCTACATGTCACACGAGTCGCATAAGTAACACCCCGTGTGGCTGTGCGTATCGTGGTGACTGAGCTATGAGCCAGTCTGGCAGCGTTACTCTTGAGTTTGCTCAGCGACCGACAAGAGAGTGAGATTGGCACTGAGTGAGTGAGCGAGGCAAAGACAGAGGGAGAGTGAATGAGTAAGCGAGTGAGTGAGTGAGTGAGTGAGGGGTAAAGAGAGAGGGAGAAATGCAGAGTGATAGACTTCGAGAGTGACAGAGGGTGTGCATGAGTGAGAGGGAGTGTGTGTGAGAGCGAGAGGAGTAAATCAGAGAAAGACAGAGATGGAGTGAGAGGCTGAGAGAGAGAGAGAGAGAGAGAGAGAGCTGGAGATACAGTGATGAAGGGCTGGAGGGAAGGTCTGACAGAGGAGTTGGCAGTTGCCTTGTGAGGAGAAGGTTGGAGATGTGATGTGATGTATTTGCTCCAGGCTCTCTGTCAATCAGGCTAATGGGGGCTGATCACCTTTACAGCACAGTGTGTGGTCACTCAGCCTCAGCCCGGCTCATCCTCGCACTCTCAACTCCGGGTCAGGAGGTTGTGGGTTCAAGCCCTTCATCTGAGCTCACAGTCCAGGCTGACGCTCCAGTGTAGTGGAGGGGGGAGAGAGTGCCGCATTGTCAGAGACGCCACCCTTCTGATGAGGCGTTAAACTGAGGTTTCTACAAACTGCCTTGAGCGCATGATCCAGGAGTTGTCGGCCAGACACCAGGTGAGAGAGAAACTCGTCTCTTTTCCCGACAGCGCCATGAGAGAACAGGGCACAGACGGGAGCTCAGTTTAACGTCTCATCTGAAGGATGGCGTGTTTGGCAATGCTGCGCTCTCTCTCCCCGCCTGATGCTGGGCTGGAAGGTCAGCCTGCACTGTGAGCTCAGAGCCCCCAACGTGGGAGTACAACACAGGGTTACACAAGTACTTAGTCGCAGCTACATTTGAATCGATCTGGTAATTCCAGATAATCTAATAGCCACTGTGTTATTGGAGAAGGTGCCAGGCCGTTCCCGGTAGGTAATCAATGTCTCCTGGGGGTGATTGATCAGGGCTCAGTGACCGGCCCAGCCAACAGCACTCACACTGGAGCTACAGCCCAACCCAACCCAACTCAGCCCAACCCAGCATTAACCCAATCCATCTCAGTCCCAACCCCAGCCTAACCCAACACACCCCAGCGCCAACACAGCACAGCCTAGCTCAGTCTAGTCAGCCAGCCAAGCCCAGACAGACTGACCGGCTGCTGTTCCTACAACATCAGTTATCAGATAATCAGCATGTAATGGAGGGAAGGGCTTCCCAGAGCCAGTGTACGGACACCGAGTGGAGGGGAGATGGGGTGGTTGGGCAGGAGGACATTAAGGCTCCCATGATTCTTTGCTCAGTGCCTCAGGCTTGTGTTTGTGGACTCAGCCCCCACCCTGTGTGTATTTGTTCTCTGTAACCTCTAACCTTTCTCCCGCCCCCATCCCACCATGGCCAGGTGTACACCAGGTACGGCAAGTGCTACACGTTCAACTCAGGCAGAGAGCGGACATGGAAAACCAAGCAGGGGGCATGGGCAACGGGCTGGAGATCATGATGGACATCCAGCAGGAGGAGTATCTGCCCATCTGGCGAGAGACTGGTAGGTGTGAGAGTGACTGGCGATGCTGCGGTGATCAGTGACTGTGAACAACACCGCCACGCACAGCGCTCACACCTCAGGGCCAGGAGAACAGGGTTCAAGCCCTGCCTCACCCCCATTCGGGGGGCTCTGAGCTGACAATCCAGACTGATGCTCCAGCGCAGCGCTGGGGGAAGAGAGAGCGAGAGCGCTGTATTATCGGAGATGCCGTCCTGTGGATGAGATGTTAAACCTCACTCTCCCCATCTGTGCCCTGTTCAGGCGGATGTTAAATATCTCCTCCGACGCTGTCAGGACAAGAGAAGGGAGTTCTTCTCTATCCCTGGCCGTCAAGACAATACCCCATAAAATAAAATCCCTGCCCCCCCACCCCCCCCCACACACACACACCGGGGCTAAGCCAGGCTTGTTAAACAATGAGAAATAAGCAGCCGTATAAATGTTCATTTGTTTTGTAAATTTTTATGGTTAACGTAATGTAGACTTTCAAAACAAGTCCTTTATCTCTCTCCCTTAATTTTTCTCTCCTTCCGTCCCTCTCACTCCCTCCCCCTCTCCCTCCCTCTCCCCCGCTCATTCTCTCTCTCCCACTCACTCCCTTTCTCCCTCCCGCACCCTCTTGTTCTCTGTAGATGAAACCTCATTCGAGGCTGGAATCCGTGTTCAGATCCACAGTCAGGATGAGCCTCCGTACATCCATGAGCTTGGCTTCGGAGTTCCGCCGGGTTTCCAGACCTTTGTGTCCTGCCAGGAACAGCGGGTAGTTACCTCCCTCCCTCCCACTCTCCCCTCTTCAGCCTTGAGAAGAGACGTGTGTTACAGAGGGACCTGTTGAGGTGTAAGATATTAAACCGGGACTGAGACAGGAAACCTTGGACTCAAAGCCCGGGCGGGTGGGCAGGGGAGCAGGGGGTCAGAGATCGGGGGGTGAAGGACTAAGCTCAGGATCTTGTTTTCCCAGTTTTACTGGCCAGGCCAGGTTGGTTGTAACTCGGTCTCTCTCTCTTTGCCAACAGCTGACCTACCTGCCTGAGCCGTGGGGCAACTGCAAATCAGAGCTTCCCAACAGCAACGTTCCCGGTTATGTCAATTACAGCATCACGGCATGCCGGCTCAACTGTGAGAAACAGGCCGTGTTGAAGGCTTGTGGCTGCAGAATGGTCCACATGCCAGGTACCAGCACTGCCTCACCACCAGCACAGTGTGGGGAGCAAGCACCAGAACAGACACGATGGAGAGAGAGAGCAGGGGTTGGGGTTAGAGTAGAGAGCTCCAGTGGGGGAGCGAGCCCCAGCACAGACACGATGGGGGGAGAGAGAGAGCAGGGAATGGGGTTAGAGTAGAGAGCTCCAGTGGAGGAGCGAGCCCCAGCACAAACACGATGGGGAGAGAGAGAGAGCAGGGAATGGGGTTAGAGTAGAGAGCTTCAGTGGGGGAGCGAGCCCCAGCACAGACACGATGGGGAGGGAGAGAGAGAGAGAGAGAGAGAGGGAATGGGGTTAGAGAGCTCAAGTGGGGGAGCGAGCCCCCTATTGGCCTCTTGGTCTCTCTATCTCTCTCTCTTCTGCTAAAGGTAATGAATCAATCTGCAGTCCAGAGGACTATATGGAGTGCGCTGATAAGACACTGGGTACGTATTTATTTAATTACCTGTATTTATTTCCTCTAGTGTGTGTGTGTGTGTGTGTTGCCTCATTCAGCCCAGTCACTCGCATTCTCGTCTCCAAGCCAGACATGTGGGGCCTCTGAGCTCACAGTCCAGGCTAACACTCCAGGACACGCCGTCCTTTGGATGAGACATTAAACTGAGCTCTCGTCTGTACCGGGGGGGGGTGGGGGAGGGGTTGGGTTGAGGCGAGGTCGGAGTTGAGGGGAGGTTAGGGGTGGGGGGTGTGCGGAGGGGGTGGGAGCTTCTTTGCTGCTGTTTGAAGATGTCTGAATTCCGGGACAATGAGTTGTGGGGAGTGATGTGAATTTCTCCCAAGGGGGAAACTCCCCCCCCCCCCCCCCCCCCCAAACCCCGTCCCCCAGGCTGAGGCTGTGATGAATTGCCTGCCTCTCTCTCTCTCTTTCGCGCTCTCTTTCTCTCTCGGCAGACGATCTAGTGAAGAAATCTAACGAGACCTGCCCGTGCGTGACCCCCTGCCACACCACGCGCTACAACAAGGAGCTGTCCATGGTGAGGATTCCCAGCCGAGGCTCTGCCAAGTTTCTGGCTCACAAGTTCAACACCACCACAGACTACATCAGGTAGGTCAGTTACCCTGTGCGCGCTTCACAGAACGTACTGGGAAGTGTAGTGACTTGCGTACGTCGTGGGCGAAACACAGCAGGCAATTGCGCACGGCAGCGTCCCACACACAAACAGTCGTGGGTGTGTCAGACCGAGCTGCCACCCCCCACCCCCACCACCTGCAAAAAAAAATGTTTTATTGCTTGAAGAGCCGAGGTAGACACTGCGTTACCGACTTACCACTGATCCACACCCCCCTCTCCCCCCATCCACTTTCACCCACACCACACCCCCCAACCCCCTCTCCCCCGCCACACACCCCTCTCCCCCCTCTCCCCCTGTCCCTCTCTCCCTCTTCCCCCACACCCACTCTCCCACGGCCCATCTTCCCCTCTCCCCCTCCTCTCGCCACCACTCCTCCCCCACAGGGAGAATTACCTGGTCCTGGACATCTTCTTCGAAGCCCTGAACTATGAGACTATTGAGCAGAAGGAAGCTTACAGTGTGGAGGGGCTGCTGGGTGAGTGACTCAACTACCCGTGGGGAGGGGGGGAACTGAGATCAAACAGGACAAAGATTTACCTGAAACTCTCTCTCTCTCGGGTGATGTGTACTGCGGCCCGGGGGGGGGAAGGGGTGTGTGGGGGGGTGCGCTTTGTGTTTGATTGTTAAGAAATCGGTGTCTTGGGTTTCACTTTGGCTCACTCTCCCCTCCCCCTACCCCATTCTCCACCCTCTCTTCCCGTCCTCCCCACCACACCCTCTCTCCCCCTACACCCTGCTCGCCCTCTTTTCCTCCCCACCCCCCCCCAACAGGTGACATTGGGGGGCAGATGGGGCTGTTTATTGGAGCCAGTATCCTCACCGTCCTGGAAATCATTGATTACATCTATGAGGTGAGAATAACTTCCTCTCCATGAACGTACATAGAGCCTCACACAGCACAGCACCTCACGCTGACACAGTCTTAACAAAGGGACCACAGGGAGCTCTGAGCAAAGAGAAACCACTCAACCAGTGTGAACAGTCTAGTTATTTAAGGTGGGTTCAACCATCACTTCAGGCAGCATATTTATGTAAGATAGCAACTGGGGGAATCTGACTGAGAACAACTTCACACTGAGGGTAGTGAGAGTGTGGAACTCGCTGCCGTTGAATCAGATAGTGTAGATATCTTCAAGAGGAAGCTGGACCTTCACATGATGGAGGGGAATAGAGAGTGTGGGAGGGAGGGAGGGAGGGAGGAGCGGGTGGTGGGGTGGGGGAGACTCGTGTGGAGTATAAACCCCAGCATGGAGTGGCTTGTTTCCGTGCTGTACATATACAACTATGTATAATTGTTCACCGTGTTCCTTTCTCTCCGCGCAGGTGATCCGGGTTAAGGCACAGCGTACGTTCCAACGGCAAAAGCCTCAGAGAGAGAGCAAGGACCCCATCGCTACCCTGGGGCTGGCCGACATGAAGCCGGTGAGAAATCAGGGATCGCTCCCTCTTTCCTCCCACATTCCCGTCTCCGATCCCAGGCTCCGTCGTGACCTCCCATCTCATATTTTGTAGGCAAATGCAGCAGCTATTTTGCACACAGGAACATCTCACAAACAGCTATGAACTGGGGGTGGGGGGGGTTGTCGACCAGGACACCGGGAGAGAGAAACTCCCATCTCTTTCCCCAACAGCGCCGCAGGAGATCTTTAACGTCCACCTGAACAGGGCACATATGGGGAAAGAGTGAGGTTTAACGTCTCATCCGAGTTAAGACTGGATTTAAAAGGATTTTTCACAATTCTGTGCTGTTTAGCATTTTAAAACAAAACGAGTCTCCTGGGCAAAGTTTAAGTCCTGCAATTGAAGGGTGGTAAACTGAGAACAAATCTGCAGAAAAACTACGTCAGTGAGCGAGTAGTAAACACGTGGAACAGGTCCACAGGGAAACAGTGGAAGCAGAAAATGTCGATAGTTTTAAGAACAAATGAGATAGATTTCTGATAGGAAATAATTTGGGGGGATACAGTATTTGGTTTGGGACACAACATGTCATGCGACTGGCAGGATGGTGCAAGGTGATCTGGATAGACCTTGGTCTTCCTTTGTCTAGCAAATGTTTATAAGTCTTTATTTTTTCCTCCTGGCGCTTTACGAAGCAAATGGCAAATGTGTGTTAATCATCACCTGACGCCTTGTCCCGTGTCTTGTGCCCACAGAGTTCCCGCGAGGCACTGAGCAGCCTATCTGACGGGAGCCCCTACGCCACCAACCTGCTGCCATACCACCACAGGCCGCCCTTCGAGGACTTTGCCTGTTGACTGTGGCCGAGCTGGGCAGGCTTCTCCCTTTCTCCCACCATCCCCACCACCCACCAGCGATCTCCAGTCTGCGGAGAGCTCCCTGGAACTGCCCTCCCCCACACCCCTGTCCCCCCACACCCCCCTCCCCATCACCGGCACACCTCTCGACGTCAATCGCTCAAGCCAAAGTCTCTCACGCTGTTCCGGTCACACCTCAGACCGAGGACCTGACACGGTTACCGTGGTAACCATCTCTGCGCAAGGCCCAGACTTCACTCCGCAAGACTTTACAATCCCCGGAGCGAGCGAGCAGACCTGGATTCCATTTCTTTTTATAGAGATTTCAGTTCAGTGAGTGTCACATTATTGTGTTTATCTGTGTCCGTCCAGCTCCCACACCTTCACATCGAGTTCAGGCTCATCATAGGGCCCAGTGAAGAGTATTGTCTTACATCAGCACAACTCCCACCAAACCTGTTGGGGTAAAGTCCCATTATGTTCCTGCAGGTCGGTGCTTACAGCCTACGTTATCTAACCGAGCAAACCCACTAAACCCCAGCCAGCCCTTCACCTCTATCTCTGAGGGTCGACAGGGCTCAGAGCTGTGTTAGGCCCGGCTGTTCTGGTTAGACCTGGTGTATGTGTGCACCTACATCCCAAGGTGCTGGACAGTCAGGGATTCGGATCTGAGCTGGGGGTTGGGATCAGGAGGGGTGGAGGGCGGGGATAGGAGAGTGACCGAAGGCACGGTCAAAGAGGAGGGGTTTGAGAAGGTCCGGGATGGAGTTCCAGAGGGTGCGGGCAGAGAGGCTGAAGGCCCGACCGGGGAACATGGAGCAGGCTGGAGCCCGCTGAGCGGAGGGAGCGGACAGGTCAATACGGAGTTAGTAAGTCACAGAGGTAGGGGAAGCAAGGCCGTGGATGGCTTTGAAGGTGACGGCTAATGGTTTAAATATAATTCAGACGTCTGTTGTAGCCAGAATTTAACAGCGACTTGTTTTATCTCAAAGTTAGTGTAGCAGCACGGACTTTTTATTGCCCTCGCCTGGGATCAAAGTCACAGGCCCACAGGTTTCACTGTGTTTGTGTCGGCCTCACCCTGAGATGGCGGTTGTCAAGGTTACCAAGCCTAATTTGTGTTAAATCAGATTAAAGAGAAAGGTGAAGGCAACTGAATAACCCTCACATTCCTCTCAGGCTTTTTCAATCTCTTCGCACTGTGTGTTTGTTTTGAAGCAGTGGAGTGTTTGGTATTTTCACCTGATCTTCCATTTTGTTTGTGAGCCTCCAGAACTTTTAATTAACCCAACCAGATTTATAAAGAAAATGCGCCGTGGATTTATGTGAGTGTGAGAGCAGGGGGGTTGGGGGGAGTGTGAGTGAGTGAGTGTGTGTGTGTGAGTGTGTGTGTGTGTGTGTGTTGGGGGGGGGTGAGATGTATGTGGAAAAGTCACACAACCAATCTGTCTGGAACTGATAAAATGGCAGAATTGGTTTGCTGGGCCTCAAAAAATAGCCGCCAGACCTGTTTGGCTGCCACTGGCCAAACACGTTTAGCCTGGCCTGGTCAAGCTTGGCCTGGCCTGGTTGCCCTGAGGGCAATCTGACTGTTCTCCAACCGCGAGGGCGATCCTGAGGAAAGCGTGTCCTTCCGCCCGCAGCCCCCACACGGGTGTGGAGCAAGGAGACAGAGCTCCCAGCGGGGAAACGGGACTTTTTATTACCCCAAACTAGCAAACTGGTCACCGGTGTGAGTGACAGCTCGAGGCAAAGCCACTTCCTCCCAAGTCCCATCCCTACCATCCCATTCCCAAGTCCCATTCCCACCATTCCCATCTCCCCCCACCCCCTTTGCCGCGGTCTAGCACGTAGCTTTTAAACACATGTATTCACCTAAGCCAAAGCTTGCCAACATGGAGAGGGACAGTGAAGGGAGCCACAGGAGGATGATTATACTGTACAGTACAGAGGGACTGGACAGACCAGCCTCAGGGGTGGAACAAGGAACTGGGATGAGTTTCCCTGAGGAACATTCCTGGCAATGGGAGGTTTATATGGAGGGAATGCTGTGGAGGTTTGGAGGGGAGCAAGACAGACAGAGCCCATGACGGGCCTCTCCTGAGCATCACATTAGAAGCAAATCATTCTAGCATCGCGATCACCTGTATTTACCTGCTCTGTACCTCACTCCAGCACCATCCTGTCAGCCGCAGTGACATCAACAACAACTTGCATTCATTTCGCGCCCCTCACGTGGGGCAGCATCACATTGTCTTCCACACGTCCCCAAACAGAACTGAGCACAAGAGGGGCTTCCCCCACAACGCACTTTAGCACAGCACACACTGGGGGCTGACCCGTAACCCCCCCACCCATCACCACAGCTAAACTATGCCCTCGGGTTCTCTATCCCTCATTCTCTCCGTCCCTCTCCCACTCTTTCCTTTCATTCACTCTCACACTCTCCCCCCTCTCTCTCTCCCTTCACTCTGCATCCCTACTTCACTCTTTAATTTACTCTCCCTCGCTCTTTCTCTCCGCATTCCCCCTTCCCTCTTTCACACTCTCTTTTTCCTTCACTTTTTCTCTCCCTTACTCCCCCTCTCTGTACGTTGTCCTATTTGTCACTGTGATGGACTGACAGTAAGAGGGAGAGAGACCTCCTGCAGTCCTGTGTTTGAGGCCTGTGCACAGAGGGGTAAGGTACAGACAGAGGTTGGCAGGAGTAGGTGGGAGGTATAGAGGGGGACAGTGGGCAGTGATGGACGCTGACAGCCCTCTCCAGCCCATACCCCCCACCGCCCCCCCGCACCCCCAGTGGCGGCCATGGTCTCATGCTCTGTGTTAGATGTAGAACTGGACACATGCAGAGTCTGATATATAACTGTATGTGAACATTCGCAGAATAAATTTATAATCTGATCTGACAAAAAGAGTCTGATTTCACTTCATTCGCTCATTTTGACTTAAAAAAATGAATGTCTCGGAATGAATGGCTTTGTGTTTATACCGTTTGGGGATGGGGGGGGTTCAGGGTGAAGCAGATTGCGTCCGCAAAGTCAAGCATGGATTGGGTAGGCGTTTGAGGAAGAGATGCGTTAAGGCGAAAGAGGGATTTTTTGGTGGCCAAACGGGTATCTGACGTGTGGACACCCATCGCTTAAGTACTTAAGAGTCTCCAAACCAAGCTGAGAATTCCGTGCTTCCCACTTACACGTGGAAATCCCAGAGACAGAGATTGATTGAGGGGAGAGAGAGAGAGAGAGAGAGAGAGAGAGAGAGAGAATTCAGCCTTCTCTGACAAAATCCAAACAAAATTGAGAAAAGCTTCACGTTGAGACTGCGATGAGAATCAAGCTGAGCACAGCGATGTCTGCTAATCTCTCTTGCTCTCAGATCAATGGGAAGCTTGCAGCACGATCAGGTGAGAGGCTGAGAACGAGGGAGAGAGAGAGAGATATCCGCAGGGAGTTTTTAGCAAGATTGTGGGAAGCTTGTTCCATTCTGTAACACATCACTGGTGTCTAATAGGCAGCTCGGAGAATTTGCCCAAATCAGCCCCGTGGAATTGATAAAATAAAATTAATAATTTTCTTCTAAAAGAGCGAGGCTGTCTCTGACCATTAACAGGAGCTACAGAGTCCTGTAGCGCAGTGGGTGGGCACTCGCCTGGCAAGCGAGAGGATCCAAATTGGATTTGCTTCCCGGGCAGGTCGAAACCTGAGGTAAGTTTCCTTACTCCACTCGCCTGTTTACCCGGCAATGAGTAGGAATCCCGTCGTTAGTCGATTGGTGGATCACCCTCCGGGGGTAATAATCCCTTTGTAAAAAATCTGTCCACTCAATCCACGACTGCTTGCGGGGACGCTGCTGTGCGCAATTGGCTGTTGCGTTTCGCCTCAACCTACACAGTCACTACACTTTACAGAATATTCTGTGAAGCGCTTTGAGTGTCAGCCTGGACTGAGGTGGGGGGGGGGTTAGCGGGGTTTGGGGGCTCAAACCCACAACTGATTCGGAGGCGAGAGCGCGAGCGGCTGAGCGGGCTGGTTACCAGTGAAGCGAGATGTCTCGAGCGCTGGAGTAAATGCCAGGATTACTATTAATTATTATTATTGAAGTCCTGGTCACTCCCAGCTCTCTCTCTCTCGCTCGCTCTCTCTCAGGAAGATGATGGGAACAAAAGCCAAGGTCACCGTGAGATTCCTCGGGGGCGGAGGAGAAGGTGAGCGGGGAGGGAGGGAGGGAAAAGAGGAATGAGGCTTTTGATGTATGCCTCGGGCAGATGAGTTGATTGCTTTTCACATCAAAGAACATCGTTCAATCTGCCCCCAGTGTGTCATGAATCAGAGCCAGCGAGAGAGAGCGGGAGTGATGCCTTCTCTGTATTGACTGATTTGCATGAACTGCCTGTTTTATTAATGATCCATGTTTCGTCCTTTGATGATTTATGTGTTCTTTCCCCTCACACAACGAGCACCGTCTCAGATAATTCACTTTCCTTTCCACCTCTTTCCAACCTCTGCACCGCGTGTGTGTGTGTGTGTGTGTGTGTGTGTGTGTGTGTGTGTGTGGGAGGGGGGAGAGTGGGGAGGGCTGGAAAGTTGCTGAGATGGGCTTTTCTGGAATAAAAATCGATCAGGAGCAGAGGTCCGGCTGAGAGGTCGTGTGCAAGACTTCACATGAACTGAGTGTCGCAGAGAAGGTAAGTCAGAGAATGAATGGCGGTGAGGTTTAAAGGCAGTGTTGTAGAGTAGGAGGGAAGAATGAAGGAGGTGAGACCTGGAGTAGGAGGAAGGGAAATTGGTTGCTCACTTCATGGCCGTTTGTGGGGTGGGGACGTCGCTGTGTGCAAATTGTCTGTGGCGTTCACCCACAAAACACACAGTCACTACACTTCACTGTACCCAGCCCCGCCCCAGAACCACACGACAGTCCTCGATGGGCCTGTTTATTGCCAGGCGTCACACCGGCACATTACACACACACACACAGAGCTTTAAAACCCACAAATGTAA